TTAGAATTAATCAGTATAGAATAGAAACAAATAGTACAATTATTAATTCTCAATTAAAAATACATATGTAATAGTTTAGTATACAGGTTAAATTTATTTATTTTGGTATCTTCGTTTATGTTTTGTGTATTGAGATTTTTTATTTAAACATGAAAATTTGAAATTTTTTTTGATTAAATTTTGATTCAGTTTATAATTAATAAACAAAATAGAAATTAATTTATTTCTTTTTAAAAAAAAATTCGATAAATTAGAATGTTTTTAACCAAATTGTAATTTCGAATGTGAAATCGATAAAAAATATCTTTACAATTTTATATCAAATAATAATTCAATCATAAAAGAACATGTAAATGTTTTGATAGGACATTATTTTAAAAAACATAATATTCAATATCAAAAATTTAAAAATCATGTTATTCTTAAAAATACAAATTATTATATAACTAAAAGATTATATTTTGATAATAATGACAATATTTGATTAGCATTTAATAGTATTAAAAAATCAGGAAGAAAGCCAAAAGAGTTGAGTAGTGATGAAAAAAGAAATAAAAATTTAATAGCTCAAAGACAACATCGAGATAGAATACAAAAATACTTGAATTTATTAGAAGAACGACATCAAGTACATAAAAATGAAATTTATATATTGAAAGAAGAGTTAGAAAAATCGAAATTAGATAATGAATGCATGCAAAAAGAATTAGAAGATCTTCGAAAACAAGTTAAAGATTTAGAAAGAAGTAATGAATTATTAAATAACGAAAATCAAAATTTAAACGAAACATTAACTGAGTCGAATGAAGAAATACAAAAACTCGATAAAGATTTAAAAGATTATCAAGATGCTAATGAGGATTATGTTAATCATAATAAGGAATGATGATAGTTATCGAAGAATTGAAAAATCAAATTAACAAACATGATGAAGAATTAGAAAATGTAAGAGAAGAAAGAGATCGATATAAAACCAAAAATGAAGAGTTGAGAAAACAAATTAACGAAAATATTACAAATAACGAAATTTTTGAAGAAAGTATTGAATTAATGAATAATGAAGTTTTTGAAAATATTGGATTAATGAACATTAGTGAAAATATTGAATTAGATTTTAAACCAGTTACTTTTGAATATAATGGTTATTTTAATATAGAAAATGATGTTGAAATTGTTAATGAACCGAATTTGTTAAATACTCCATTAGATATTAGTAATTCAGATATTAGTTTTTCAAATATTAATTTAATTGATTTTGAAGAATTTACTAAAATGATGAGGATGATGAAAAGAATAAATGGTGATTTATTTTAATTATAAATTATTTTACTAATTTATCATCTATTTATATTTATTTTTTTTTCATATTTATCAAACTGTATTTTTTTATTTTTATTATTTTAACATGAATAAACGAAAAATTGAACATAAACTTAAAAGTGAAAATAATAACAATGAAATAAAAAAAATCAAAATTGAAAATGTAAATTTAACGGAAGAACAAAAAAAAGTGGTTGATATAGTTTTAAAAGGCGAATCGATTTTTTATACAGGTTTTGCTGAGTTGGAAAGAGTTTTTTGTTGAAATATCTTATTAAAGAATTAAAATTAAAATTTCGAGAAAAATATAATGTCGCGGTAACAGCTAGCACTTCGATTGCAGCATTAAATATTGGTGGTATAACTATACATAATTATTCCAATATTGGTATTATGAATATGAGTAAGGATGATATTATTAATAAAATAAAAGGTAATAAGTTTTTCAAAAATCAGATAATTTATACCAAGGTGTTGATTATTGATGAGATATCCATGTTAAGTTGTGATGCGTTTGATTTGATAAATGAAATCCTACAAAAAATTCATGAAAATCAGAACCCGTTTGGAGGTGTACAGTTAATCGTAACAAGTGACTTTTTTCAATTACCGCCTATTCCAAATAAAGAAGATAAGAGAAGACCTTATGATTTGTACATTTTTTTAAGTAGAATTTGGAATTGAACATTTCAACAACATATACTTTTAAAACAGGTTATCAGACAATCAGACGAGTTTGTGATAAACGGATTAAACAAATTAAGATTAGGAATTATTGAACTGGATTTCTTAAAATACATCAAAGGATTGGAATGGAAATTGATTTGTGAAAAGATTATTGATTACTTTACTGAAGATGACAAATTTAAATGTAATTTATGTGAAGAAGTTATTCATATCAGAAACAGTGGGGCTTTTAAAAGGCATTTTAGAAATAATCATGATGGAATTATTAAAAATTATGATGATAAATACGAACCAATAATCTTATTTTCTGATAAGAAATCTGCAAAATTACATAATTATAATATGTTGTATTCTTTAAGAGGAAAAAGAATTTTAGAATTTTGTTCAAATAATTGGAGTGTAGCTGAAGATAAAAAAAAGAATTTTGATCTACCTTCACATGAGCAGTTGATCAAATATTTAGATAAGAAAGTTTTAGCCGAAGAACTTTTATATTTAAAAGTTGGCATGAAAGTTATTTATATTTTTAATGATAAAAACAACGAGGGTATTGTAAATGGTACTTTTGGTGTTGTTGTTGGATTTAGATCAAAGAAGCATAAAAAGATTTATGGAAGAGATGGAACTGAAATTCCGAATTTCATAACTACACAAGATTTAGATTCTGTAGTTAAATTTGATAATATCGAAGATGAGATAATATTGAAACAGAAAAAGTTTTTATATAATAATTCCGAAGGTATAGTAATAGCATGGCATCAACAATATCCGATAATATCCGCTTCTGCTATCACGATACACAAGTCTCAGGGTTTAACATTACAACATATGATAATCAATTTTAATAAAATTTTTCAAAGTGAACAAATATATATTGCATTATCATAAGCAACTGATTTTAAAAAGATTCAGGTTAAAAATTTCAATTCAAAAAAATTAAAGGCTAATGATGTTGTGATAAAATTTTACAAAGAAAAATTTAATATATAATTTATTATTAATATTTTGTATTTATTTTTATTAATATATTTTTATAAATAAATTCAATATTTATTATTTAAATTTAAACAAGATAAGAAATTAACATGTCATGATTTATTGTTGAAATTAACGAATTTGATGAATTTGATAGTCCATCCATGTCTAGATATTCTATCACTTTAAAAGTTTTCTTTATTTTTCAAAAAAAATGATCTATCTTGATTATTTTGATAAAGAATTTGAAGTTATCGATATGAAAACTTCAAAAAAAAATGAGAGTTATGTTTGGGATGATAAAACTTATCATATTCTTGAAAAAGAAGTAAAATATGAAGTTCTTTATAAAAAACAAGTTATTTGTTATATCAAAGAAGGAAAAATAATGATTGAAAAAGAATTTGGAAAATTCATGTTTAAATTTATCAATTTTGATAATTTTCATATTCTTTCAGAAATTGTTAAAGTTGAAAATAAAAAAAAAGAATATCTCAAATTTTCTAATGAAAATTTAAAGATTAAGTATTTAGAAAATGGTAAAAATAATGATGAATGGCATTTTTACAAAATTGAAAATAAAAAGTTATTTTATCACGCGGTTGAGGCTAAACAACATTATAAAGTTTATTATGAAAATCAACCTATTATTGATTTTGTTAATGGAAAATTTATGATTAATAATTAAATTAGTTATAAATATAAGGATTATTAAGTTATAAATGTAGATCTTATTTTATATATAAATAACATGTATCAATTTTTAAATATTAAAAAATAAGCATGCAATTTATTATTAAGATTATCGATTTTTGTTCTGATCCAATTCTTGAATCTCTTAAAAATCATTATTTTGATTTGGAGGTTTATAAATTAGAGAATGAAACAAAAGTTTTAATTGATTTTAACAATAAAAAATTTAAAATTATTGATATCAATACAAATGATGATGATGATTTGGCCTCGGCTTTTTTTCTTAAAAAGAAAAATAAATACAAGGTTACTTATAACAATCGAATTATTTGTAATCTTAATGGTGAACAAATAATGGTAGAAAAAGAAGGTGTTCAATATTTATTTGATATTGCTAGATTTGATGATGATTTTATCTATTTATTGATTATTAAAATGGAAAATGGTGTAAAATCATATTTTGATATCACTAATGAAAAATTAAAGGTTAATAAGAATCAAGAAATTAAATGGCGTAATTTTGATCTTGAAGGAAATTTGGTTAAATGTTTAAAGTTTGATAAAAAGGAAAGTTATGAAATTACTTATAATGGAAATGTACTCATTAATATTTTTAAAGGTGATTTTTTAGTTTATGAAGAATATATTTATTTATTAAATGAGATTATACAATAGATGCAATATTTAAGTTGTTATTATTTATTAGCTTATCAAATTTAATATATCTATTTTCAGAAATAAGTTTATGGTTATAAAGATATGTGTTGTATTCATTGATTTTTTTTAAATTAATTTTTTTACTTAAAGTGATTAAATTAAAAAAAAATTTAAAATCATACATATGATTATTGAAATAATTTTTAATTTCTTCTAAAGTATAATTTAAATCATGCATAAAATAAAAAGCGAGTTTGTCATTTTTAATTGCGCCATTTTCCCCATGAAGATACGAATATCCGATAATATATTTAAATTTTTTTAATGATTCTTTATGAATTTCAAATAATTTTTCAATTTTATTTTCTATTGAATAAATTAAATTTATATTAACTTCAATATATCTCTGATAGCTTAATAGTAAATATACTTTATAGTCGGGTATATTTTCATCTTTGATATCGTTGATACAAAAATCGTACCAAATTTTAGCCTTCCACAAATCTTTATTAATCCCTAAACCTTTTTCATAAAGGATTCCAAGATAAAGCAGTATCTTGCATCTGAAATTGATTCTTCAAAACAATCAAAAGCTTCTTTGTATTTTTCATTTATAAATAATTTATATCCATTAGTAAAATTCATATTTAATGTTTATTATTTATACACGGGAAAATATTAAGGAAATTTATAACGAAATCGAATTACTAAAAGATATGGAAAGATTATCATGTGATAAATGTACCAACCCTTCTCAGTTTTCTGATATTCATCAATTGAAACAACATTTATTACTAAAACATTATACGTGTAAAATATGTGAAAGTAAAAAATATTGCACATATTTAATTTCAAATTACAACAAACATGTGAGAAATGTACATTTCAACAAAAAGAAGATTATTTGTAACAAATGTCGCAAACCTTTATCATCGACATATTATAAAAAATTTCATAAATGTTACTGAAAAAGAAAACAAAATTAATAATTATTTTATTTATAATTATTAATATATTAAATATAAATAAATAGATATTTATCTATATGGAATTTAATTTCATTAAGAAAATTTGAATATAGAACTTCCTGATATTAATACTGATAATATAACTTTATGTGATATTTGTTATCAATCATCATCTGATAACGAATTTATCTATTCCTTACCATGTGAATGTAAGAATAAAATATGTAAATATTGTGTTAAAAATATGAAAGAAAGAACGGGTAAAGAAGCAAAATGTCCTTTTTGTAATAAAAAAAAATTCAATAAAGATGAAGACACCAAATCAAGACAAGATGAAGAAAATGACCTGGATGAATTTTTTATGTTTGTTGGTTTTTGTGTTAACAGTATCAGAAATTTACAATATGAGAATGAGCTGGAATTTTTAGAAAATAAATATAAAAATGCAAAAAATCATTTGACTTTTAATTATGAAAGAGATATAGAAAAAATGAATAAATTAAATGAAAAAGAACTTGGTAGTTTAAAAAGAAAGTATGGAAAAATTTAAAAATAAATTAGTAATATGTTTTTATTATTTAAGATATAAATTTTTTCATTATTTTATGTATTTATCCATTCATATTATTATTATATACAAATAAATATATATTTATTTTTATTATCAATATGGATTATAAAAATTCATATGATTTTTTGAAATATGACATGGATTTTTTTTCTAATCAAATTTTACAACATTTTGGTATTCGTATTAAATATTATAAATTTGATAATAATATTTTTTATTCAGATATAAAAATTAAAAATATCCCAATTCGTATTTATTCTATTCGAACTAAGAATATAGATAATATTTACGAAAAAGCGAATCAATTAGCTAAAAGTTTTTTTAATTCTTTACGATTTTTAAAAAATATTCGTTCTTTAAAAACAATCATTATTTTATCACAACATTTTATAACATCAAAAGATGTTTGGGGTAAATATAAAAAAGCCGGATTTCATCTATTCGGAGGACTTTTACAAATTGATTTTATTAATGAAGTAATTCTAAAATTGGGAGAAGAAAAAAAACAAGTCAAAATTAAAAAGACAAGAAGAATTTATATTCAATACAAATTAAAAGGACGACGTAGAAAAGAAGTTAGACGTTTACAAGAAGATGCAGCTAAATTCTTGAATAATAGATCTTT